GAGGTTCCGGGCGGCCCACAGCTCATTTAGGGTGAGTTTTATCAGAAAGGAGGTGATGGCATTTGAATGCGCCCAAGAGGAGCCTTGGGGCAGCCCTTGGCGTAATAAAATAATAGATTCGGAAAGTAAAAGAGGTTGATCATAAAACTGACTTATCAGATTTGACATCCAGCTCCTCACAGGAGACACGAGGCGGCACGAGCAGAAAGCATGAGACATCGTTTCCTGCTCGCCACAACCCGCGCATTGATCGATCACGGCGAACTGGCGCCAGACAGTACTGTTTCGGCCTTTCAGGCCTCATCAGTGCAGTGCTTATGTTAGGATGGGGGAGAACCGATATGGTTACCCCGAACGATCCCACATTTGTGGTATCGTCTAAGCCATGCCGGAGTGCTCAAACCAGGAAAGCCTAGTGAGCTGTGCGCAATGCTAGCGGCAATGACTCACCCCACAGTGCTCAATTTGAACATGAAAGCAGAGCTTTGTATGCCAAAGAGATATATATATAAAGAATTAAAGTTCAGAAGAAAAGTGGAACTGTATGCACCAAAACCTTACTTCCCTTTCGCGTTGTAAATTAATTGTTTTTATTTTTAAATTTAGATCCAGTGGAACTTTGTTTTTCAAAAAAACTGAATACATTAGCGAAAAAACAATTATTAAAAATAATTTTCACTGAACCATGAAACAGAACAAAAATAAAATACTTCGAAGCAAAATAGGATCCATTGGCGAAAAAAGTACGAAACGAAAAGCAGTTGCTAGACAGAAATTGCATCTAAACTGGAAAGGAAGATGAGGGCTTTAGTTCATGAACAAATGTGTGAAGAGAAAGACTAGATCAAGACAAAGAAAACGACAAAATACGCAAAGAGGCATCGAGGGTCGGGGAAAGAAGTAAAACTGAGAATTCTTAAGGCAATGCCAAGGACGTTGGGTACAAGTCTGACCAATGTAGTCATTTAGTGATTGGTTTAACTATACGCATCGTGCTCAGTTCTTCAGTGCCGGAGACAAATACGGGCTCTGGCGTTCTTGATAATCATACAGGCTAAACACATCAGTTCTTTAATGAAGCAAACGCAAAAAAGGGGAAAACATAAATATGAGATAAATTTCGAACTTAAAAACTAAAGAATTTCTCCTACTTTGTCATTGGAAACGCTCGTCGTGGTGGCGCGGAAGTCGTGTTATTGCTGGTGTTCCCCCAAGGATCCTGCCATTCTGCATACCACGCCGATCTGAACTTCCCTCAGTATAAGGAAAATATTGAATGAACTCCGATGGTAAGGCCCTCGGATTTGCTCTAGCGTTCTCCAGAACATCTGTCTCATTCCCTGTAACCAGAATTTTTTTCACTGTATTGTCGATTTTTATCACAAAGTACAAGACAATCAATATCAAGACGAAGATAGCAGCCTCAGCGATCATGATTGGAGTACGTGGGTTGCAGTGGCGATGGAAATGCACTTTTGGTGTAGATGTTGAAAGTCAAAGAAAGCCTTACAGCAGGGATCGCACTCAAATAGCCTCCGATCAAGGTAACTGATATCTGCTCGTGATGGGCGTACTTTGCGTATCTGTCCGTAACGGTAACCGGTATATACAAGCGTTCCAATGGGGTCTCGATGGACGTCACGCCATGGACCAATGCCCTACAACTAAAAATATGTCTGGATCACTGTGGAATTTAAATATCATTCTTTTAAAACTTCCGGTGTCCTTTTGTTCATCTTCACGCTATTTCCATGCGCTGTTTCCCGTTACAAGTGCTATAATCCTTTTAACCAAATGATCTGGATGTCTGCCAACAAAAACTTTCGTGCCCATCATTAGACACTGGGCTTTGAGCCATCAGAGTTCTGTTGAAAAATTACAAAGTCCACAACTCCTTCGAAACTGGCTCATTTTTCGCTTGAAAACCCCTCAGGTAAGTGTCATGATAATATTTTGCTTTTTTATTTATAGTGATCCACACTTGCTGAAGCGGTCAATGACAGGGGAAAACGTGATCGCGCTACCTTTTTGTGTTGTGTTGTGTTGTGTTGTGTTGTGTTGTTATAGACGGTGCGTAGACCTACTTAACATTAATAGAAAAACTCTGAGATTCCCAAATACTGTGACACAGTCGTGTGGGGTCATTCAAGGTTTCTGGTAATCGAGATCAAAAGCGGATCATTCAAGGTTTCTGGTAAACGAGATCAAAAGCTCTCGATAAAATACGCCGGACCACATACATACATACATACTTTATTTGTCACGTAGGTCGATAAAAGGCAGCTAAAAAGCTGATG